TAAACAGGCTTTTATTGTGAAACATTTGCAGGAACTTGTGGAGGATTCAGTGACTTGCATGTTTGCGTACGGTACTTCAAATGGTGACACTTTTTTTTGTTACTACAGCAACATTTCAGCTGGCACATGAACAGACACAGTGACTAAAATAATAGTAATGATAATAAACATAGGACAAGAATAACATGATGACATCACAGACGTTGTGTCATGTCTGTCGGCCAAGTCACGGCATGATTTTATGACTCCACAATGGCCTAATCTGACATAGTGACTGTCAGAACGGACAAAAATGTGTAGTATGAACCCAACATTAGCTCTGTCAGCACTGTTGCTGTTGTAGCACCATAAGCTGCTCGCCGCTGGCTCAGCCACCTCCAATTTAAGAACCATGTGCAGACAACTCATATGCTTGGAATTTTGCATTGAGCTCTTAACATTTTATTGATCAAATGATTTAATTTGTTGGTAAAAATAAACTTAAGTTGCAGCCCTGAAGAAGTTTTTAGAAAATCGTGGTGTCTTCTAGAAGTGTGTTTTTGTAATATCAAAGGCAGGCCACCTCGTCTGAAAGATTGCCTCGACTAACGTCATGACAAAATTAAATGTAGTTATTTTTTTATGTTAAGATATATAACATTCATTTCAGTGATAAATCAGATGTGCTCTTCCACACAGAGCAGATGCCATATACTTGAGTCTTGTTAGTCTGATTTCTTCTGGCTTATTTATCATAAGTTGAGAGGTGTCAGGATGTGGGCGGCTCACAACCTCTGCTGAATAAATTCCCAGGTTAAACCCTGAACTGTGTGCATGTTGCCATTGACAAACGATGCTAGTTAAATTGTCCATTATGTGAAGACAAGTGTATTAACTCATGGACAGTTTAATGGAAGAGCTCATAGTCAATTTGTGTGTTTCAGAATCGGAGCATGGTGCAATTTTAATGACAGGAGCTCAAACAGGGCAGATTTGCTGGATGCATCCTTTGCCAAAGTCTAATCATCATGGATGAGTAGTTTACTGTGATGTTGGAATTTCACACCCCACTCCCCACGCATATGTTAATCCTGAGACTGATACTTTGTTGTTGACCCGAACACGTTTAGCTAATGACCCTGCTTTTAGTTGTTAATTCAGCTGCACGGGCTTCGCTTGGTTAATTGACCAAGCTTCTGTTCTCGCCACAGAACGCTAACATTTTCATGCATCTCTGCCACAGCGGCTCTGTTTACATGTTGAATGATCTTTTACCTGTGTTTTATAAATACTTGTGGAGCTGCTCCTTCCAGGTAGCGGCACATTTTTATTTTTTTCATGATTGGAAATGTTCCTTGATTTGCATTATTAGTCACCAGAAAAACACAGACTGAAAAATGCAGATTTGTTTCTGTTCTTGGTCTTTCATGGATACTTGTTTTTCTTTAGGCTTTAGTAAGATCAGGGTTTGAAGAAAACTTGTCTGGTGACTAAAGGTGACTGGGCCTTGTGGTCATTCCTAAATATAGACATTAACACTAATTACAGCACACACACAAACACACACCCTGTGGTTGCTGTGGGATAATTGACTTGAGTTCAGCCTCGGTGTGACCCAGTCAAACCAGACTGCTGTCACAGGTTAATTACTGTTTGTCACCTTTGAAACAAGACCCCTGTCTCTATTTGTAGCTCCATCAAGTCTCTGCTGAGTAGGTGACAGAATTAAACCAGAACTAGTACAAATATATTCACATTATTAAAGGTTTTCTTACAATGGAGATTCAGTATACAGCTAGAGGTACTGTTGTATATTTGATTTTTGTTTGCTGACATGTTTAAGTCATTATCAAACATTGTCAGAGATCGATCATTATATCCATGTCTGACCTGAAGAGTAATTGACACAAAGAAGTAGGGGAAAGGGCACATACACATAAAATGTTTTGCAATCATGGTGGCACAAGAGTCTAAGTGAGGGGGTCCCCAAAGTCATTAGGATTCATCTTCGGGGGATCATGACTGTCTGTGTACAATTGTATGGCAATCAATGTAATTCTTGTGGAGATATTTGAATCTGGACCAAAGTGGTGAACCGACCGACAGACCAGCATTGCCATTCCTTGATCCATAGCTGTTGGCACAACCAAAAATGTATGAGAAAAGATTTTTATGCCAGCTGGAGGCATCATGTTTTGGGAATGAATGTCCATCCGTTCGTTCGTCCTATTCTCATGAGCCCAGTATCTCAAGAACAAATCTTCAAATTTGGCACAAACCCATTCTCGGAACCCATCAGCTGTATTCGGCATCTGACTTCCGGCAGATGGCGATACAGCCTCTGGGGGCAGACCCCCGATTTTTTGGCATTCCGGTTTGATTTGGGCGGAGGAGGCGAAATTCCGTTTCTGACTTCCGTTTATATATAAGTAAATATGCTGAACCATTGTGATGGATTCAGAGTTTGCAGTGACGCCAATTATGTTCCGACTCGTTAGTTCACCGCACGGACCGTTTAACCTGGCAACAACTGCAGCTGACTCAAACGTGATTGGTCAATATCACACAGCGTACAACCGGAAACCAGGGCTCTTCCGCTCTTCTTCCGGAGGCAAGATCTCCAGGGTTTGCCTACAGACTCTACATTAAGTGAATGTAGAGTCTGTATATAGAGACTAGCACAAACCCAACAAAGAACTTATTAGGTTTTGGTGGTCATAGATCAAAGTTCAAGATTTCTCTGACCTCATCTGTCTCATTCTTTTGAACCCAATATCTCAAGAACACCTTGAGGGGTTCTTTTCAAATTTGGCACAAACGGCCACTGATTAGGTTTTGGTGTTCAAAGGTCACTGTGACCTTGCATCTGTCTCATGCTTGTGAATGTAATATCTCAAAAAGGCCTTGAGGGAATTTCCTCAAATTTGGCACAAATGTCCACTTGGACTCGAGGATGAACTGATAAGAATTTAGTGGTTGAACATCAAATGTCAAGGTCACTCTGACCTCACAAAAGTTTTACTCAAAATTCCTACACTAATTAGGACAAACTTTCACACAAATGTCTAATGGGATATAACGATGCAATGAAGACATTTTATATCCAAAAAGTCAAAGCTCAGCTTCACTGTGACATCAAAATGTCCTGCAAAAACACTTCTCTGGCCATTATTCAGTTTCACAACTCAGGAACAGAAGGGGTGACATTTGGTCAGATACCGAATTGGTGACACTAGTCTTGAATTTGTGCTAATTGTATAGATCTTCTTTGCTGCCGGGATGGAGATGTGTGTGACGCATCCATGTTTTCACAGACATGGATGAAAACTGTAAGTGCAGCTTGACTGGTTGACAAAGCCATACAACTGCGAAATGGTAATTCTAGTTTTTAAATCGATCTGTCTATAAGAAGGTAAAGCAATGTTCCAAAATTAGAACTTCATGGTTGATGATGCTTAAAGCTGTGGGTTGTCAGTAATCCAGTAACTACAGCTTTACACCCCTCTCCTAGCCCGGTTTAAACACAGGTCTTGCACTGCACGGCTTTGTCAGGACAGGGTGAACATGGGTTCCTATAATAACTAGTATTACTACACAGTTACCATAACATTATCATAGGTGTCAGTTGTGTTTTGGCTTTGGCATATTTTTACTGCAGCCACAGCAGTCGTCTGGAAGCATCAACTTCTCTCTCACGAGCCCACACCTCCCTCACACTGTACAACTTGCACTTTTATTATAAAGATTTCATACTCTGACAGCTCTATAGCTCATGTTGTCTGCAGGGTTTCACTCCCCTCAGATAAACTTGCCTCAGGTCTGAAATCTAGATTCAGGAATAAAATAGCATGGAGGTACAAAGAACTGTTGGTGTCTGAGCTTCATCGCTGGGCTCAAGTCCTTGTTTTTAACTTCCTTTTCTTTACTGTATTGTTTTGAATGTTTTAAGGATTGTAAACTACTTTGGGTACTCCAGCTTCCTCCCACAGTCCAAAGACATGCAGCTTAATTGGTGACTCTAAATTGGTCGTGGGTGTGAGTGTGAGCATGTGTCTGTATGTGTCACCTCTGTGATAGTCTGGCGACCTGTCTAGGGTGTACCCTGCCTCTCACACAGTGTCAGCTGGGATAGACTCCAGTGACCCCCAACAGGAGGAGTGGTTACATAAATGAATGAATGAGTGTTACACTGAGGTGTTTTAAGGGTCAGTAAATTAGTACAGTCAGTGGAAGTACTTCAAAAGGAGAGATGTAAGCTTGGGTATGTTAGGTTTGGGTGTGTGTGTGTGTGTGTGTGTTTATAACCTGTGTGTACACACATTAACCCACGTGGTTGTGTGTGAGCGTGCCCAGGGTGGAGCAGGACATTTCGCAAGTTCCATTAACCTGAGTCACCATCAGATCACACAGCGGGGCGTGGGTGCTGACTGTGCTGGTTAAAGAACAGCTACACTGTGATTTTGGCAAGTTTAGTGTTCTTTTATTGTTTTATATCATAATCCAGAGTTGAATCACAGTAGAGGACACAAGATTGGCTGTTTTTGTTCCTTCTTTCCAGCTATATTTCAGTGTTAAAGGCTAAATTTTAATATTAGACTGTGTTCTGAGTGAAGAAGAGTGTGCCAGATTTGAGTCATACTGCCCGCTGATGCTGCTGATGGAAGTGTTTTGTTGTGGTTGTCTGCTGGGATGTTAGTTTGACTGACATATGGTTGTTTACTTTACAGTTTTGAATTGCGTCTAGAAGCATGAGAGGTATGCTTCTGAAATGAAGGAAAGGAAAACAAAAGTAAAAGTAAAGTGGAGTTGCCTCTAGTCGCGCCAAAATAGTTGCCTGCATAGCCACAGAGTGATTTCATTTAGCATCACTGACTGTAGAATTAAAATGACCCACCTGCAGTCACTATAAAGAAAACACACACTGTTACTTTCATCTGCCCACGACTCCTGCATTTTTTTACATGGATGTTTTAAATCTAAACTCTTCCTTATGTGTCTGTCTCTTTCTCACATGTCCTCAGAGCAGTGCTGGGACCCCTGTTAGACCTTCCTCCACCCGCCCAGACCCTGATGGTGCTGGTAGACTCCCTGGATACAGGAGGTGGGAAGAGCGGATCCATTGCAGAGCTCCTTGCCGCCAATCAACATCTGCTGCCCGGCTGGCTGCTGCTGGTCTGCTCCGTGCGCCGCCACAACAAAGCTGTGTGCAAGATGTTTTCAGGTATAAAGCAAAAATAATCTTCTTATTGGGCTTTGCACTTTAAGATATTATTATGGTGGCAATTTTACGCTGCGTGGGGCCAGACGGGAACTTAAGCAGCCATGATTGGGCATAAAATGACTGAGTGAATGCTGTTTACTTGTCTCGACTAGTTTATAACAGAGACTATCGATTGAGAGCTAGCAAGCAAATAATAATTTTCAAAACTACAACCAAGGCACAATAGATGTGAAATGAGTTTTTGAGATGTTTTTATTTTTAATTTCTACAGTGTAGTTATCACAAGTCATCCAGCAGCCACTTGTCAATCATCCCCTAATCACGATGTTGGCATTTTATTTGAATGTCCTCAGTTTTGACCCTTTGTTGTGATGCATCGTGTTATCATCAGTTATTATTGCAGATAAACTTACTTACATTAACAATACATCCAGTGACCAAGTATCTGCCAACTATGAAATACAATCACCTGCTGAGGACCAAGGTTTTTTGTAGCTATAGCAAAAAGATCTTTGATTTTAACTCATAGTATTAGTCTGAGTGCTCTGGTTTGAAGCTCTAGCTTCATTTTACTTACACATTTTGAATGAAAGAGAGGTGTGTTGTTTTGTAACAGTGGATCCTGATGAGCAGATTATACAGTGGAGTGTGCATCTCCTCTTCTCAGATGAAAAATCAGAGCTCTTTAACCCTCTGGGACCCAACATAGACCCTTTTTGTCTTTTTTAAGAGGGATATTGAAGGTAACAAGTTTTTACAGTCATACATTTTTTAATAAACATCAGGTTTTGGTGAGGTGTCTATTTAAACTTTACAGCAGGGGTCATCAACTAGATTCGTCCAGAGTTTTTCTAAGCAGGCACTGTGTGGGCCGGTCTGTCTGTCTGTATCTATGTATGTATATAATTGTTTAATAATAACATAACAATTAAAATGATAAAATAAAATATATGTTATATATACATATAAATACATGTGTATGTAATAGGCGGCACGGTGGTGCAGTGGTTAGCATTGTGGTGCAGTTTTATGGGTTTTGGACTGTTAATCAGACTTAACTAGACATTTAAAGAGGACTCTCAGTTTTTTTGTTTTTTTCATTTTTTACAAAAAGAAAAAAGCAGACAAAACCAAGGATAACAAGCAGAGACATCATAGGTGAAGGTGAAATGCTTAACATCATAAACAGAAAATGAAAAGGCACAAGGTTACATTGAAGTATCACTGATAATGGGTCCACCCTCATAGCAAGAGAGTTCATGGTTCAAACCCAAGTAGGAGGCTTTGACAAATGCTGGGAAACCCACTTATTGTCAGTATATTTGTGAATGCACCAGGTCTCTAGTTTGTGGTGGTAAAGTTGCATGAGGCTGAGCTGTGATTATCCTAGGGGTCAAAATAGGTCATTTTTTACAGTTAGATCCATTTAAAAAAATGATCTTACTATAATGAAATGACCACAGTGCAGACTAACAACATCAAATGCGAATAAAATTGGGCTCACTCAATCCACAAGAGTCTCAGCTTTCATGTCATCCCCAATTTATGCAATTCCAAGGGAAGGGTCCGCGGTTTAGGGACCGCGATATGTAGAAATATTCAAATACAGTAGGCAAAAATAACACATGGCTTTTGCCCAAAATGGCATGGCATTGGCATAAAGTTGGCACGTCTGTGAAGAGGAGACTCCTGGGTACTCACAGAACCCATTTTCATCAGCTATCTTAAAGTGAGATGCTAATGGACCCTTGTGAAAATGACCATGCCAGTTTTTCCCTTACCAAACTTTGGTTTGTTATTTAGCCCCCTGCCCAACAAGCTACCTTTACATGGTTGTTAACACTGGATTCCTTCGGTGTCCTAGTGTCATATGATACCAGTATCGTCACTCAAACTCAGCCCGTTTAAGCCTCTGAAATAGAGCAATGTCGGCAGAGATCACCAGCAGCCCCGCAGGTCTTCTCTCTTATAAACACTTGTGCAGCGTTACACATTGCAAGCTAAAAAGAATATTAGATGTGCCTACAGCAACACTAGACTAACATATACTGATATACTACTAAAAAAGTAGTGGAAGAAGCTAAAATACACAATGCAGGACTGACAAATAAGCACAACTATATTGGGGTTAAAAACCTGTACTATCTCCCTCTGTGTTGCAGGTTTTCGTAGGCTCTGTCTGGATGATCTGCGCAAGCCCCCACCAGTTCGTGACGTCCAGCAGTACATCCTCTGCCGGCTGGATGAAGACACGACGCTTCGCCGTCAGCTCACCCCCGACACAGCTGACATGCTCAATCTTCTGCACATTAAAAGTGGTGGCTGTTTCCTCTTCCTCGAGCGTGTCTTGGATGGTGTGGCAGCTTCACTGGTGGGTCTCCGGGAGATCCGGGACATCCCGGGGACTCTGAATGGCCTCTACCTGTGGCTGTGTCAGAGACTGTTCCCTCGGGGGCTCTTCGTCTATGTGAGGCCTCTCCTCAACGTCCTCCTGGCTGCTCCGAGGCCCATCCCGCCCCAACAGCTGTTCACGGCATCCTGGACACATGACAACTTGCTCAGCCAACAGGACTTTCAGAACAAGCTTCGAACCCTCGCACCTCTCCTGATCGATGGCCCTGGGGACACCAAACTACTCTTCCATGCCAGTTTTGCTGAGTGGCTGATGGATGTAAAGTATTGCACACAGAGATATCTCTGCAGCAGAGCAGAGGGTCACAGCATGCTTGCCATGGCTCTGACTTTGCAGGGACCCCACCTGGACAATGAGGGCACTTGCCAGCTAGCCACACATTTAGTTTGTTCAGGTCACCATAAAGATAACCCCTCATTATTGGCACTGTGGATGCTGTGGGCAGATGTGTCTGCTCTTACTCCTTGCACCACATCCGTAACCCAGCCTCCTGTTCTGGTCAGTCAGGAAGTCCATCAGCTATTAATGAAGAGTGGGCTCGTCTCTGCAGCCTGTTTTTCAGACACAGACTCAAGTGTTGGAGTGCACTGTACAGGTGAAGAGGGAACTAGTTTACAACGGTCATTTGAAAGGGAGGTGTCTGTAAAGAAGCTGCTAGGCAGTGGGATGTCTGTAAACCAGCCTGCTTCTACAAATGGACAGACCTTGCTTGCCAGTGCAGCCTACGAGGGTTCTGCAAATGTAGCCGAACTTCTCCTGTCATACGGATCTGATCCGCTGGTCAGTGATCATCAGGGTCAAACACCACTGACTTTGGCTTCTAGACAGGGTCATGTCAAAGTGTTGTCTGTGCTCCTGGAATGGACCAAGAGCCAAGAACCAGGAAGTGCAGTACGGATGATGGAGCATGTCGACAGTGAAGGCTGGACAGCACTGCGCTCTGCAGCTTGGGGAGGACACAGTGAGGCTGTCCGGCTTCTACTGGACGCAGGAGCAGATGTGGATGGATGTGACTCTGAGGGCCGTACTGCTCTCAGGGCTGCTGCGTGGGGGGGCCATGAGGAAATTGTTCTGACCCTTTTGAACTATGGGGCACAAGTTGACAAAGCTGACAGCAAGGGCCGCACACCTCTTATTGCTGCTGCCTACATGGGACATCATGAAGCTGTGGAGATACTGCTGGACCACAATGCAGACGTTAACTTAGCTGATGGGGATGGGCGCACTGCTCTGTCAGTTGCTGCCCTCTGTGTCCCTACAGCAGCAGGAGTCAAAGGTTACGGTGAGGTAGCGAGTCTGTTACTGGAACGTGGAGCAGATCCAGGACACAGAGACCATGATGGAATGACACCATTGCTTCTTGCAGCCTATGAGGGCCATGACGACGTTGTTGAGCTTCTGTTAGAAGCTGGAGCTGATGTAGATGAGACTGCTGGCCCTGATGGTAACATCCCTGCCGCAGCTGCTGTTACTCCCCTGCTAGCAGCTGCAGCAATGGGCCACATGAAGACAGTGTCACGGCTGCTTTTCTGGGGAGCAGCTGTGGACGCCATTGACTGTGAAGGCAGGACGGCGCTCTGCCTTGCAGCAGCAAGAGGCAGCATTGATGTTGTCCGCACTCTGCTGGAACGAGGCCTGGACGAGAACCACAAGGATGACCTCGGCTGGACTCCACTGCACGCTGCTGCTTGTGAAGGCCATCGGGGTGTGTGCGCTGCTTTGACAGAGCGAGGCAGCATGGCACGTGTCGGAGAGATGGACATTGAAGGGCGGACCCCTCTTATACTGGCTGCCCAGGAAGGTCATTGGAGCACTGTCAGGCTGTTGTTGGACAGACGTTCTCCCATTGACCACAGGTCGTATGATGGACATTCTGCCTTGAGTGCAGCCCTCCTGGAGGGCCATGCAGAGGTTTCAGAGCTGCTTATGAGGCGAGGGGCAGATACTGATGTCCGGGACGCAGAAGGGAGGCCTCTGCTCTACCTCCTGGTATTAGAGAATCGTCTTGAAAAGGCAACTCTTCTCATAGAGAAAGGAGGGGTGCCTCTGGAGTCACGAGACTCTGAGGGCCGTACAGCACTTCATGTGGCTTCGTGGCAGGGGTTAATGGAAATGGTAGATCTACTCTTAAAGCATGGGGCAAACGCCAATGCACAGGATGCGGAGGGAAGACCGCCATTGCATTCAGTGGCTTGGACAGGACATGCTGAAGTAGGACGCCGTCTCCTTGAAACAAGTGGTGTCAGTATAGATCTAGCTTGTCACCAGAGGGCAACAGCTCTGAGCATTGCTGCCCAGGAGGGACATGCAAACATTGTTGCAATGCTTCTGGAAAGAGGTGCAAATCCCAATCACATGGATAAATATGGCCGTAGTCCAGTTAAAGTGGCTGCGAAACATGGACACTTTAACATTGTCAGGCTCTTGGAGAGCTACGGAGCCAAGCCATATGTAGGCCTGTTGCCTAACTCTAGAACCGTCTCTCCTGTAAAACCTAACAAGATCCTCTCATCAGGCATCTTGGAGAGCAATGGAGGTGACGCAACAGCCACTACCTCCTCCTCTTCAGTATCGTCTCCCGGCTCCACTGCAGAACGGTTCCACTCGATACAGAGCTCCCAGACCTCCTCTACCTGCCACTCGCTGGCCACGGTCCAGACAGTGCCAGCTGACAGCCTCAGCTTTATTCAGCAGATCCAACAGCACTCACTGCCACGCAGTCGTAGTCGCCCCTCCACCCTCCCTCCACCAGGGAGCTCAGGCATGGGCAGCCTCCATGGGAGCAACCGGAGGCATCCCAAAGGCAGCCCTCCTCCCACTGTTTGCACAGTTGCTGCCATGGTGCACAACTGCGAACTGCCTCAGAAAGACTTGTCATCTGGACATGAACATCACGACAAAATGAACAAACAAAACTTAATAAAAGCAGACAGGACTACTTACGCTGGTGGTAAATGGAACTCAGTCATGGCCTCCCTTGGCATAATGCCAGGGCAAGACAGCCCTGCAGTAGGTGCTAAAAACAGAGACAATCCTCCTCTGGGTTATCCATATAGACTACAGAGCCCACTACAAGGGGATGTTTGGGATTCTCATCCCCAGAAGACTATTTTGTCACCTGCTTGCTACAGTTTTTCCCCAGTCCCACCTTGTAGTGCCTTGCCAGAGGATGTTATGGTCACTATGACAACCACAGACCCGCAGCTTAATCTGAAACAGGCCATTAAACTGCAGTTTGAGGGTCCCACTAGCGCAGCCTTATACAAGAGAGAGACACCTCTGTGACTGGTGCTCCAGTACACAACCAAAGTTACTTACTGCTACACTTTCTTCACAGACCTTTTACTTTGTGTGTGGGTTTAGTGCTAGAACAATTAGTTCATCAACAGTAAATGCAAAGGAGGCAATTTATCAAGCAAACTGCCAAATACTCTCTGGTTACAGCATCTCCAGTGTGAGGATTAACTGCTTTTCTTTGTTTTAACACATCTTAAACTAATATATTAGGGTTTAGTCTAGGTGTGTTAGTTTTGGTTCATTTTGCTTTCGATTGCCAGAAGCCCATTAACCAGAAACTAACAGGTTAATTTTTAAGAAATTGACGCATATGGTGTGAAGAAACCTTTCTTTTTTGCCTGGATTTATACTTTGAACGTCAGCTCTGTGCAGAGCCTATCCTGCAGCCTACGTGCGTAGACTGCAGAATAGGCACATTTATACTTGTGCAGTGGTGTGTCTGTGTCACTCTGCAGTTACACCGCCAAAACACTAGTCAGTGTCGGGGTTTCTGTGAAGTGCTGTAAAGTTTAGTTGTTGCAAAACACACAGTAAACACACATTAAACATGGCTTAATAGAGACAATTTCAGACACAAGTAAACAAATCAGCTTCACTATAACTCGCAGCATTCACAGACAAAGCACTTGACGTTTGCTTGACACATTTCCCCCACCAATACAACATGCTAATGTTATTAGCACAAGGCTATGGCATTTTACATTGTATAAATTAGCTTAGCTGCTAGCGGACTTTTCCTCTAGTCCTATGAAGCCAGGGAGCAACAGCAACATTTAACAGAGGTAACGTCACAAAATTTGGCTCCATTACAACTCACAGGGTTCACTGATAAAAACAACTTTCTCATACTAAACACATTTTCCAAACAACTATTACATGCTAACATTATTAGCACAAGCCCATGACATTTAACATTGTATTTAGCCTAACGACGAGCTAAGATTACCTCTACAGCGTACAGTATAGGTTGCATCGATGCAGACCTATGCTGTAGGTAAGGCATTGATTTGACGCTTAAGTATAAATCCAGCATTAGTCTGGCACTCCATTGACTCAGTGAGTTTAAGCACCACATTTCAAAGTTCCATCCATCTAGAGGTTGTGAAATTTTAATGTTTTGTGATTAAAATGTCTTGCCTTTTATTTTCTGTTGGCTTTGCTGACAGACAACTGGCTAGCTGCGTTAACATGCAGAAACATAGTGGTCACTGCCCACCGCTGGTCTCCTCCTGTGAGCTAAGGTTAACCATTAATCAATTAACCACTTAGAATATTTATGACCAGTTAGGCATGTCTGTCTATAGGTTTATTTTGCTGCTTTTTAGTTTACCGCACTATGAACCACCCAGGTTTGCATGGAGCTCCTGGCGCTGCCCATTCTGCGTTTACCACTAGTAGCACGGTCCCGATCCCAGAGCATTGCTGTGGATGCATGGTAGTCACCCCCCGGTCTCCCCATGGGTAGCCCTGATGAGTAAGTGGCTTATATGTTGAGCCACAAAACCACTTTAGCATTGTTAACTATGTTAGCACTACTAGCTTTACTGACACTGCTAACAGTGCAAAGAGAGCTAACAGTGATAACAGTGCTGAAGGATGTTTGCGGCTCAAAAGTGTGTGTGAAGCTACCTGGGGACAGACGAGAGGGTGGACGCAGTGCTTCAGCAGCAATGCTGTTTGGCTGGCAGTTAATTCCCAGCACACCCTTGTGGTGCACACTATAGTAAACTAAAGGGCAGCAAAATTAACCTATGGACTGACTGCATTACTGGTCAAAAATATTCTCTGCCGTTAGCTCTTGACATCCTGAGTTTGGTCATTTTGTTATTTTGAAAAAATAATTGACAGATCAGTTGATACTGGAAATAATCCTTAGCTGCAGCTGCAGTGTGAGAATTTACAGTTAGTTTTTTTGGTGCAAAAACAAAAATAGTTCTGTCTGTTGGTGTACATTCAGAGCATTCACAGAAATTGAAATTCTGATGACACCATCTTGTTTTAGGTGGAGTTGGACATGTTTGCAGTTCAAAGAGAAGGCAGTTTTCACTGTGTACAATGACTTTCTGAGTTCAGACAAGGGAGGAAGCGATCTCTCTCTCCACCCACCTTCAGAAAACCAGGGGAAGAACAAACTGACATCAAAGCTGACATTCCTGCCTTTCCGTTGCCTGTTGTGTGTGCTGAGCAGGGCTCTCACAGACAAGATCATTTTAAGTGTAAAGCATAACTGTGTTCCCTTTCAGCGTGGACCTGATTTAACTCTCCCTATTTTGGAACACTGGTGTCTAAGTTTGGTTATGTTTTAAATTAATTCTTTGCTAGTAAAGATCTCTTTTTCTAAATGGTAAACATTCTTGTTTAAGAGCTTTAAGCTTGTGGCCTTGATCTTTAGTGATGCCTTTGATATTTACTATAAACTGGCATACCCCCCCCCCCCCCAAAGCGGTCCGTTGCCGACAACCAAACACTGTTTGTAGAAAAGCAAGCTCACCAAAGCCTGACCCGGTGTGGGGTTTATGATACATACTATAAAAGACAGCCAAGTGTACTGAACCAACTTGGCTGTCTCACAGTGTGAGTCTGTGAGCAAGCAGGAAGGAAAAGTGAAAATTGGACCATAAAAACTGAGGGTGGATGTGGGAGGATTGTTAATTCCAAACTTGTGTGTGGCCTAAAGAAATTTCTAGTTCTTTATCATTTTGCATTGGATTAATATTTAATCACATCCATTCATTAAAGTGGCAAACGATGCCATAAAACTGTCTACCTCTTTCCTGTCTGTTTATTTGTGAACGTGTGTGTCGTGGTGTGTTTTCTGCACTCTACTACGATATGTCACACAAAGCTTCTGATGTAGTAGCATCATGCCGAGATGAAAGTCTGGCAGTGGGATGATGGTGGCCACCTGGGAGGATAAAACCAAGTGCTTTTGGACAGCTTTGAAACTAGAGAATGGAAAATGCAATAATGATTTATCCTCCATTGTGGTGATGTGCTCTATCTGTCAAACGTTTTATGTATTTGGCTCTTCTCGGCTGCATTTCTTAAGTGCATTTTCTATGTGGAGTAGCATAAAAAAGCACAGGTCTGCTCATTTTGATGACATTGACATGACTGATCTCTTCTGTTGACATTTGCCCTGATAAAAGGAAAGCTTTAATATTTAAAGGGGAACGCTACCTAAATTTACAACTCAAATATGTTATTTCCATGGCCTAGAAAAGTTCAGTGAATATTTATGAGCATGCATTACTCTCTGTCAAAGGCAGAAACCAGAGAAGTCTCACACTTGTGATGACATGAAGTATATAAAGTCTGGAGCTGCTCCATAGACAATGAATAGGAGATGGATTTTGTGGGTTTTCTTTTTTATACCCAAATGAGCTTTATTCTATCCTAGCGTTCTCACTTCTGAAATAGAAAGTGTACCTGTATATTCAGAACATTCCCCAGGGTGCTCTTAATGCCATCTATAACAGTGGTTCCCAACTGGTCCAGTCACAGGGTCCAGATTTCTCCTTCGTCATTAGTTCAAGGTCCACACAGTTTAATACATTCAGGGTCATACTTGCGTTTGGCCATGTCATCAAGCTGGTTGGCTGTCTCTGTCAAATAGCTGTCCATTAGTCACTCACTCTACAGCAGGAAACAACACTTCAAAATAAAAGCTCTGTGCCAGAAATTCGCTGTACTTGAAATTTATTTTTTACAAACTTGACATGTTTGTGAGTCATTTGCGGTCCATTCAGAACGAACCTGCAGCCCACTTTTGGACCATGACCCACCAGTTGGGAACCACTGATCTAGACCATCTTTCCCAATTCATAGTCCATGAGGCAGCTCCAGATTTAACACTCTAGTTTGGGATTTGTGTTTTCTGGGACTGTCTTAAACCATTGAAATAACATGTATGTTTTAGTGTGATTTAGTTCCCCTTTTATACTTGCGTTGGACCTAACTGCAGAAAGACTTGGCCTTCTTGCACCTTAGCATTGTGTTGTGAATGCAATGATCTTCTCAAAATGTCAACTTTGATGCTAAAACTTTACTTTTTCCACTGATTTACTTTAAATCTTCAGCACAATTAGTTATGTATGAGAGATATTCTCTCAGCTGTACTTAGGACATTACCAAATACTCTTTTAGCAGGTTTAATCTTGTCATCTCCAAATTATTTTGTGTTTCAGTACAGAGAGCATATGCCTCTAGTTTGCTTTTTACCACATGTATTTAATGTATGTACTTATGGTAGGATTCTTTCATCAGTTTTTCTTAGTCATTTTTGTGGGATTCTTTTTCAAAGCTAAATGTGTATCCTCTTAATTACTGGACAGTAAAATTGAAATACCTTGTCATTTTAAGTGACAATTATCTTGTTATCTTGTATTCAGTTCCCCAACATTTTATAGTTCTCTGACAAGGAGTTGAAATTTTTATACCCAGTATTGTATAGTGCTGGGTATCAGTACTCAATACCTTTGAGGTATCAACCAAAATAACCCATCCATCCATCCATTTTTATCCGCTTATCCGGGACCGGGTCGTGGGGGCAGCAGGTCGAGCAAAGCACCCCAGACATCCCTCTCTCCGGCTACGCTGTCCAGCTCCTCCTGGGGGACCCCAAGGCGTTCCCAGGCCAGACAAGATATATAATCCCTCCAGCGTGTTCTGGGTCTGCCCCGGGGCCTCCTACCAGTGGGACGTGCCCAGGAGGATCCTGATCAGGTGCCCGAACCACCTCAACTGACCTTTCAATGCGAAGGAGCAGCGGCTCTACTCCGAGTTCCCTCCAGATGTCCGAGCTCCTCACCTTATCTCTAAGGCTGAGCCCGGTCACCCCACGGAGGAAACTCATTTCCACCGCTTGTATCCGCGATCTCGTTCTTTCAGTCACTACCCAGAGCTCATGATCACGAGTTTGGTATTGGTATCGGTATCACTTTAAGGGCACTGGCTTTGGTACTTGTCCGCTGACCCCACCCCTACCCTCTGCCAGCCACCCTCCACCCCATGGTGCAGTGATGCCCCACGATACACGATCAGCCCCAGTACTGTAGTAGATACCCATTTATCTCGGAATATGGACAGAAATCCCTGCAGGAACATTCAGTTTTTTGGGAGACTTATGGAAGAAAGCCTTTATGAGAAAGCTTCCTATATAATGGAACAAAAGTAACCCAGATGTGTGTTGGGACTTTGGCTGTCTAATGCCAAGAACTCAATACAGGTGTTGTCACTGACATGTTTCTGTTCTGTTGTCAGACACCTGCACAAATGAGCCCTCACGCAGAGTCGATACACTAAATTCTCAACTACTTCTGTGAAGACCGACAGCCATACATCAGGATTTTCAAAAAGCTTTCTTTCCATTTTTTGTTCCACTCTGAAGAGCATTTTGAAAAGCTCAGTTATCAGCAGTGGAAAATATCTCAGTGTGGCAAAAGTCAGAGAATATGAAATCGTACACATTAGTGAAGAC